GAGAGGTGTTAGGTAATGTGTTTTAGTGGATGCCTCCAGCCTCCTCGCACATGCCACCAAGCCGCAGGCCATTCAAGGGAAGGCAGAAATGAAGTCGGTCTTGTGGTGGGTAGGACGACTGGAAGAAGTTATGTCAAATCATGGGATGTAGGAGGGACGCAGTAAACAGAGCTGGTCTTAATAATAACAGTATAATTATATTTAGAATTAGAGTAAGGGTTTAGACAGGCCTGGGTGATGAGGATACTGGCTGCCTATAATCAGACAGGATGTTATTAATTCAGAAAAACATCCATCAAAACTAAATGGAACAATTGGAAATTTGAATGCTGAGTGGACATTTTATAATAGTTTAAGAATGGTTATTAAATTCTTCTTAGAGTGTTATTCCTGGGGTATGTGTTTTTAGTGACTCTATCTTTTACCAATATATATTGAAATATTTATAGGTAAAATGTTGTGATATTTCAAATTTACTTCAAAGTAATAAAGGAGAGGAGAGGGTTACTGTCAATGTATCGTGAGTGCCATAAGCTGATAATTTTTGAAGCTAAACAGTAGATCCATGGGCTTCTGAGGTCCTTCTGTCTCCCACAGCACATGATTGAATTTTCTGTAGTAAAAAGTGAAATACATACATACATGCATATACATATATGTATATAAGTTGGCAGGAAGAAAATATTACAGAGTTTTTGACAGGATTTGGCAATTGGCAAAGAGTACTTAAATATACAATATATCTTTTTCACAGATATTTCATTGCTAAGGAAATAAACAATGCATGTGTCTATCACCACATTACTTGGATGCAAAATTTGGGCCAATCTAAAATTCCAAAGGAATAATTAGAGCAATCATGGTAACGGGCGTATGTCCCTAATCCTTGGCAGACATTCTCCCAAGGTCTTTGTGAAGTGCTCACTGGATGCCCACCATAATCCTTTTGTGAAATACTCCTGAATTCAAGTTTTATAGACAAGAAAATGAAGGAATCATGAGGCTTAGTTACATAATCAGTGTCACACGCTAGAGACTATGGGTGAGCCAGGGTCTGAACTCAGGCCGAGTCCCACCACCCTACCAAGCTGAAGTGTTCTGGTGATAGAATGGGTTAAATAGTAGGCAACTCCACCAGATGGAATATATTGCAAACATTACAACTGGTGAGTTAAATAGGAATGTCTATGCATTGAAATAAAGACAATTCAGGTTATGAGATGTAGCCAACAGAATTACCTCAACTCTACTAAATGGAAAGAAAAGAGGAAGAAGGAAATCAGATTTTCTTTTTAATGCTTGTCATTGAGTAATTGGATTGCGTTTTTACTTTTCTAGACTTCCAATTGTATTTCCAAATATAATTCCAAATTGATTATCTAACGTTTAATTAAAAAGTAATTTAAATGCTAACACCATGACAGTCATACCCAGATTCTTTGTATAGTGCTGAGGGTGGAGATTGGCTAATGACAAACGGTGTTGGGGTAGTGGATGTCCACCTGCACAAGAATGAAGCTGGTCCCCTACCTCATACCATACACAACAATTACCTCAAAATGGCTTAAAACTAAATGTAAGGGCTAAAACTACAAAACTCTTAGAAGAGAACATTGGCAATAAATATTCATGACCTTTGGCTAGGCAAGGATTTCTTAGACCTAACACCAAAAGCAGGACAGAAAGGAATCAGTAGGAGATAAGACATCACCAAAAGTGAACACTTTAGTGTTTCAAAAGATACTACAAGAAAGTGAAAAGGACAGAAAATATTTACAAAGCATATATCGAATATGGGAATTAAATTCAGAATATGCAAAGAATTCCTACAATGGGACAACAAAAAGAAAAAAAATAACTCAACCAAAAGAATGGGCAAATATTGAGATAGGCATTTCACCAAAGAAGGCATATGAACTGCCAGCAGGTACATGAGAAGACGTGCAAGGCCCTTAGTCGTCAGGGAAGTGGAAGCCCAGAGCGTACACCCACGGGAAGATGGGTCGGGGAGACAGAGAACAAGTACCGGTGGCCATGTGGGGAAGCTGGAATCCTCCTGCTTTGCTGGCGAGGATGTAAAATGGAGCAGCCACTTGGAAAGCAATTTGCTAGTTTCCTCCAAAAGTAAACACACGGGTACCGCTCGACCCGGCAGTCCTGCTCCCAGGGGTACACCCAGGGGAACAGAAGACACAGGTCCTCACACAAACACGCACAAGAGTGTTGGCATTATTCATAAAAACCAGAGGATGGATTCCAGTGTCCATCAACAGATGAATGAACAAACAAAATACATTGCATCCACACAATGGAATATTCTTTGGAAATACAAAGGAATAAATTATGAAAAATGCTACCTTGAAAACATTATGCAAAGTGAAAGAAACCAGACACAAAAGACCACATATTCTATGACTTGATGTATATGAAATGTCCTGAGAGGTAAACCCACAGCGAGAGGAGGTAGATCGGGGTTTCCAGGGACTGGGGGAGCGGGGCGAACGGGGAGCCGCTGTCGATGGGCATGAGATTTCTTCTGGGTATGAGGAAAATATTCTGAAATTAGTGGTGATGGTTGTGCATCTATATTTATATGGTAAAAACCACTGACCTATACATTTTAAAAGGGTGGATTTTATGGTATGTAAATTACATTTCAATAATAAAACAAAGAGGAAACACACAAAACAACAAAAAATACCTATTTGAATCCTATCACTATATTCCTATACAGACTTAAATTAGGGTCCTAAGGGGAAAAAGGAACCAGACAGTTGCTGGATGGATCCCCAGGCCTGACATTTATCAGCAAGTCCCTAAGCCTCTGTGAATGTCAGTGTTTTCACATGTTAAATGCAGATATTAATATTTTCCCTACTTCACTGGGGTTAGGGGTTATTTGATGCAGTCAATAATTAGTAGCGAATTTGGTGATCATTATTCCTTTGTACCGTAATCAAAAGAATGTGGATTACCTCGCTGGGCCGTGGTTCTGGCCCAGGCACTGGTAATGGGCGAATGTCCCTAATTCTACTCCAGATGTTTCCGGTACCTGCACACCCTCAAGCGCCCGTGCCACCGCAAGTTAACAGGGAAGACTGCCCCCCCAGAGAGCGTGCCTGTCCGGGGCCGGCCTGTGGCTAAGGTCTCCCACTGTGCTCCCAAACTACGTTTCCCAGCGGCAGCTGGCATGGCCAAAAGACCTGGTTAACAGGTTCATCTTATAAACTCTGTAGCTGCTGAATACAAAGAGAACGGTGTCCTAGGGGTCGGAGGCAGAGGGAGAAGTTTGGAAACTGTGAATCATGAAGCAAGCTGAAAAGGCTAAGCACATATTTGTCTGTGTCACATATAGATCAAAATGAAAAGTATGGAGAGGGCACAGAGGGTACTTCAACACAGCAATCAGAGGACACGGCGGCAGGGACAGAAGATGATTCATAGGGGTTGGTGCAGAGAAAGGGGCCAGTGAAAAATTAGGCTAAATTTACAACATGATCTATGACATGTTTGAATCATGTCCCTGGAGAAATGCAGAGGTCCACTGTTCTTTTTTTGTTTTTGTTCTTCCCAAACAGAAGAGCTGGGTATAGATCCTGCAAAACAATGCTGGCGTCCTTCAGCGACGGGCCCGGTTGGGTTTATTTCTGCATTTGCCCCTCCTGGGTTGTGGGACCAGACTAAGGGCGGCATTTAATGTTTTCAGGGCAAGTTATTCAGACCTCCCCATGTGAAAATCAAGTCGTGCTTTGCTGGTCTTAGCTCATTGTGAGAGCCTACTGGGGTGGGGCGACTTTATTTTGAGCTCCTACATGGGGACTAACACACAACTGGCCCTAGAATTTGTGCAGCTTCCTTCCAAGAAGCACAATGCTTCTCCACAATAAGCAGCAAGTGATTCAGTCTAACTGGGGAGACCAGCATGAATGAACAAAGAGCTTCGATTACGTGCCCTTCAAGGCGAACATTTTTTGGGGGGCTCTTTTTTCCCCAGTGCTTTAAAGTTCCAATGGTAACATGGACTAAACAAAGCATCTAGGAGAGGTGTTAGGTAATGTGTTTTAGTGGACTGAGAAGAGTTATGTATAACTGCCATCATTGTTTGTATGTAAATGGTGTTCCAAAGTGATGAAAACATTTTGATAGTTTAATGCTGCTTTTGAAATACCGTTTACATTTTTTGGTCAACAAACATTTTTTTTTTTTACATCAACAAAGTAAACTTGAAAGTTCTGCAAAGGTTGATAGTGGACCTCATCTTTGCCCTTCTATTTGAGAAACACTAAGTATTTATATTGAATGATGAAATTTTATAGTTTACAGAGTCATCATGAAATTATCTAGAGAATTCACACCATGACTATCACTCCTGGCCCAAGGCAGATACCCTCAGGATCAGCTTTGGTCAAGGCAACAAAGTCATACGGTCAGGAGGGCTGTGGAAAGACACTGGGGCAGGAATTTTGGCTCTTTGTTCTATCCCTTTCCAGCCCCCCATGACCTGAAGTGAATCGCTGAGCAGGGCTTTTAAATCTTCCAACCCCACCTGTGTCACCTGCAGAACCGATTTTACTAGATGCTTGATATGTGTCACTAACTTAACTACATACTCCCTACCAAAAAGGATTTAAGGTGGCTTATGTATCTCTAAGGCCCCTCCAGGGCTGTAGTCTTGGCTCTGTGATTGCTCTTGTGGACTGAGTCATGGAACTGGAAATATAAGATCAACCCTCACTGCCTGGCTGACAGAAATGAGTCCACTCTCCCAGTGGGCAGCTGGCTTCTGGCACTAGGATGGCATCCTGTTACCCTCCATCCAGCTCAGCGGCAGTGCCATGCCCAACAACTGTGATGAGTGTCTGTCATCCTGGCCGGGAGCTCTGCCCGTCTCACCCAGGAGACTGAGGGAGGTGATGCATCATGGGACTAAGGGCACAGCCTGACCGTGGCTTGCAGGTGCCACACGACAGCACGTGTGGAAACCATAGCGCCTATTGTACCTGTGTTGTAGAAGGGCCCTTCATAGGACGAGTTGGTGCAACCGCAGAAGTACCCACTGAGCTTCTCCACGCACTTGCCCCATTGTGGCAGGTGTGGCCATAACTGCTGCAGTGGCCTGGGCATCCTGGCCGCACGCTGGGTGTGATCTTTGCCCTCTCCTCCTCCAGGTCCAGTTTCTGCCCATTCAAGTGCAGGGAGTGTATGCCTTCTAGGAAGCCTTTCTGTCTTCATGATGTTCCCCCTGAAAAATACAAGGAATACACATCAGGTCTCACAGGGTTCGATGCCGTTAGTTCAACATTGACATTGTTAACAGCTAATTAGTGTCCTGTTGTCATGCTGTATTGAACTTCTCTATTAAAGTTCCCAGTAAGAATTAGGAATTCAGGGGGCCTGGAAAGAGTATGTCTTTCTAGGCTGGGAAACCCCCTCTTCATCCTGCTACTGAAAAAATAGTAAAAGACTATCTAGTTCATGCAGAATCCTGAACTTTACATGGTTAAGAATGAAACTTCAGATGGCCATGTTCGTTGCAAATGAGATAAAATATGCTCTTGCACAGTCTGTCACAGACTTTTTGGTTGTGGAACACACATGCAGATTGTCCCTCATGGCAAAGTCAGAAGCAAGCTATTCGGGGCACCAAGTTAGGAAACTGCGATAAGTTTTGTAAAGCTCATGGAACACAGAGCGGTGTGCTGTGCAGAGGGCGGACCTCACGGCCAGAGAGCAGGGAGTCAAGCTCTGTGTCACTGGCTGATTAGCCACATTGGCCACCACATCCCCAAGCCTCAGCTACTCGAGATGTAAAATAAGAATGAGTCTATTTTGTGTGTTTATGCTACAGATTTGGTTAGACCGTGACTACAGTGCATGCTCAACCATCGCTCGACACGTCCCTTCTCCTGAGCCCTCCCAACGGCTGGGACCAGAGGTTGTCAATGTAGCTGTGCAGATTAATTGCTCCAGATGTTTATTTAGAAGGGAAGGTTCTCCTTCTGGAGCACAGAATAGGACTGTAACCCAACTTTCTGCGCAGGGCACACCTTGAAGTTTCCAGAGAGATTCACAAAGCCCATAGCAAATTATTCAAGAACAGAGGAGGCTCGAAGCCATAACTGTTAGAAAGCCAGGACCCCACCAGGTTAGCCCTTTGGTAAAATGATGTGTACTGAGAAATGACAGCCAAGAAATTAAGCCGAATCCCATCTGCAGATATTTACTGGGTTCTGGGAATGCTGAGTGATCCAGAGAAGACAGGTCCAGCCTGCCTTTAAGTTCTATTCCAAATCCAACGGTGTGGGCTCAGGTCCACATTCCTGAAGAACTGAGGGACACACTGTGGTCCTGAAGGCTGCAAAGGGCACCCCTGGAGAGGAGATGTGCAGGAAGATGTCTGGAGCAGGACCCTCTTGTCATTTGTCATCTCCTTCCTCAGGCCTTTCTTAGCCTCAGTCATTTCTAGCTCATCAGCCTGAAACTTTATTAAATCCTGGTCTAGAAAACTACCAGATAAAAATACAGTCCTAGCAAGGTGGGAACAGATGAGAATTCCGAAGGATTTATATGAGACCGGGAGTCTCCATGTTAAACAGGAAACTAAATCTAAGTTAAAGATAAAAATAGGCAAACAAAAGATTTCCGGCATCAGTCACCCTAGCAACGTGGACAAGGAAATAATTGGAAATGGGGATGGTGAGGGTATAGGGTGGATATTAGGGGGTCAGGAGGTATTCCATCTTCCCTGAATCATACCAGGTCATTGGACCTGTACATATATGTATAACAGTTACTGTCTGCACCAAAAAAATGAGAAAGGACATTCCTAAAGAATTAATCGAATCCCTTATTCTAAAGTAATGCTAAAATACCACTGAATTTTCTGTTCTGATAAGTGATACCCAAGCAGGCCAGGAGGTCAAACCCAAATTATATCCTCCTGTCTGTCTCAGTTTTGGTGAGTATATCTCCTTTTAACCACAAGATAAATCAACTACAAATACAAGCAGATCATAAAGTAAGGTTCATTATTTCTTTTCCAGAGACTGTGTAGAATAAAGAGGGGAGGATTTATGGAGTCAAATGTTTTTTCAAATATTTTTTCCCTTATTTTTCAGTCTTTCCCTGTGGTAGATTTGAATAACTCTTCATATATCTTGTTAGTGGCATTTTTCTTCCAGCAGATGTGGAAAATGCAAACTCTGCTGCACATTTTCTCACAGGTGACAGTCAACACGTTTAGAAAAGGAGCAGAAGGTGGCAGGGGCATTTTCTCTGGCAGCAATGTACCCCTTGAGGTCTGAGACATTTAAAGTACAGTGAGAATGACCCAAAACTAGGGGAGCCTTTCAATCCCAACGCTGACAAAACACCGTGACACAACGAACTATGAACTAAACTGCACAATGAATTATATTTCAGTTTTCACCAGGCTGTTTTTTATTCTTTACAAAGGAGAAATTAGAGGTCCAGCTCCTTTTCCTTTATGGAGAGGTAGCACATGACTGAGGCTAGAATAATCTGAAAAGGTGCCCCTGGCGCCCACACTCACACCTGGTCTCTACTTCCTGACACTACCTACTACTTGTAGTTGGAGGCATGACTCTTTGTCTGAAACTTGAATTCTGCAGAGCAGGGCAGCCACAGCCTTCCCTCCCCCTGGCTCACAGCCCCTCTCCCTGGCCTGCCCAGCCTGGGCATTTGCTTTCTGGGGTGTCTCTGCTTCCTCCCCACACCCAGAGGTGAGGTCAAAGTGCAACCCCCTCAGGCCTCCTTGGAGCCCTCAGCAACCCTGTAAACCATCTTCTACCCTGACTTCTCGTCATGTGCCACTTTGCAATCAGAAAACCAACTGAGTGTGAACAATTGATTCTGTCCTTCCTGTTTAATGTCCTGGAGTGACTAGTCCTTGTCTGGAGCAGTGAGCTCAGCTCTCTCAGCAGAGCTGACGGAGCGTGACAGATCTGGCCTCCTCCCACACTCTCTGCTCTGACCTCAGTGCCCCAGGCACCCTGAACTAATGGCCCCACCAGGCCCCAGGTCAGCTTTGGCTTTGGGCTCTTCCTGTGCCCCACTTAGGTGGGGTGTTGTCTTCCCCCAGCCCTCCACTGCTCACGCCGCTGTCCTGCATGGCAGAGCTCAGCCTCAGCTGCACCAGGGTCAGCTGGGGTGACAGGTGTGCGCTGTGCTTGGCCACAACCCCAGCAGGACCACTTAACCAGTGGACATGGCCTTCCTGTGACTTTGCAACTGCTGCTCTAAAAGAATGGCTTTTCTCCTTACTTGTCTGCATCTCGTCCAGAGTTCACTGTAAGGCTGGAAAAGCAACAACAGAAATGTAACATTATTCTTAGAGCAACTGGAAGTCATGTTTTTTGAGGCTCCTACTTAATCTGCAAGCTGCTTGAAAATCAGAACTGTACCGCTAATTCTAAAAAAATATATTGGTATGCCGAAACTTGCTCATTCTGCATTGAATACTCAGCGGGAAAGAAGGTGTCGTTCATATTACTCATGTTGCACAATGAGGAAGCAGCGTCAGAAAGATTGCTTCTCCAAAGCTGAGAATCAGACACAGCGAGGAGTCAGGCTGGGATCTCTTGGCCTTCCAAGCGTGCACACCTTCAGAGCCCTAAAATCTTAAAACAAATGATCTGACGACACAGCACCGTCGGCAGGGATGTTCCACCTCCTTCCTCTGGTTTCAGATGGTTTCTCCCTCCAGGCGACGTGCACGTGTGCGTTTATCCTCTCAGCTCCCCATCACTCTTCCTGACAACTCACACCACTAGTCGGCTCGCCCAGCCAGAAGCAACTCTGCATGAAGCTCTTCAGCTGGCCCTTGGCATCCAGCATGTTTATGATGATGTTTCCTTGGACTGAGTATGAATCAACTCTTAAAAACATCACTATCATCATTCTGTGCCCCTCTCAGAAAACCTCCACGTGTCAGCTCGACACACGCTCATTGCTTCCAGAGAACATCTCAGTTCCTTGGGCCCTTCTTGAGCGCACGTGCAAGAGCCCGTATTTCTCTCCTGTGGGCCTGCCTGCCTTCCTGGCCACACGCAAGCCAAACTTTTACGTGGAGGGCCCTTTCCCTGGAAAACACTGAATGTGCCACCTCAGGCCACTGTTGCACAGAAACGAGCAGTGTGACTTCCTTTCTTCCCTCCCCTCCCCTCCCTTGTCTTCCTTTTCCTTCCCTTCCCTCCCCTTCTCTCCTCCCTCCCTCCCTCCCTTCCTCTTTTTTTCTTTCTTTCTGTTGCTTGCCTATTGCTCCTCATTTAACAGTCAGTAACTGCTTTCTACATGAACTACTTTGTCTGAAGTCTTCAGCCAGCTGAAGTACAGGCATATTTACCACCTAGATTTCCAAATCTGAAGTGGCAGCAGGCTTGGCATGTATATGAGGGATAAAGACACACACCCTCACCATCCGTTACCTTCTGTTTTTGCCTGGCCTCTCTGACCGGAAGAGTCTTTAACCAGAAGGAAATTCTAGTGGAAACTTCGGTTCAAAATGTGATTTCCTTAAGGACAAAGTACGCATCTGGTGAGTGTTGCCATACAGAGTGATTTCTTACTCATGAATCAACAAACACACAATGTCTGACAACACAGATGACACTCATGGGATGTTTAAGAGGCAAAGTGATGACAGCGATAGTCAGTGTGAGCCAGGAGCTTCCTGCGTAGAAGCCACCTTCCATGCACGGTGCTTCCCGGGCGCTCCCTCCCGCCGAAGGTCCAGGGGATGGGACAAAACTGCGTGATGACCAAACAGCCTTAAAGGGCAAAAGACAAACTCCTGTGAAGGAGGAGAGACTGTGGCGCCTGCCAGAGCAACTGGGTGAGAAATACAGCTGAGCCGCAGGTCCTTTCTGGCATCAGGAGAAGACCTGGCACCTTCCAGGCTGGCTGCCTTGCCAGCTTGCTGCCCAGTGGGCAGGGGTGCCAGCGTCTCCTGGGCACTGGGATCCTGACAGACACTCTGATTAGTTTTCCTCAGGGTGGCCCTGCTGAGCAAAGGTATTGCCCAGCAGCTAACCCACAGACTCATTCAAAGAAACAACCAGATAAAGTAAAAGCCTCTAATTATAAGCTTTAAAGAATTTTCCTTAACAGTCGACATGAACCAGAGTGATTTTACGGATGAACGCAGGAGACCCTGAACTGTAAGAAGAGCCTACAATTCACTAAAAGGAAACATCCGTGGTAGGTCAGGGCTGGCCAGATCTC